TTGACTGCTAACCAGAAGGTTGGCGGTTCAAACCCACCAGCCACTCCTCGGAAAGAAGATGGGGCAATCTACTTTCGTAGTGATACTGCCTCGGAAACCCAAGGAGGGGTCGCTATGAGTCGGGTCCGACTCGACAGCACATAACAACAACAACAATTATGAGAAAGGAGCTCTGGTAGCATAGTGGCTAAGGCACTTGACTGCTAACCAAAAGACTGGCGGTTCAAACCCACCAGCCACTCCCCGGAAGGAAGATGGGGCGATCTACTTCCGTAGTTGATACTGCCTTGGAAATCCAAGGAGGGGTCACTATGGGTCGGGTCTGACTCAATGGCACACAACAACAACAATTATGAGAAAGGAGCTCTGGTGGGATAGTGCCTAAGGCACTTCACTGCTAAGCAGAAGGATGGCGGTTCAAACCCACCAGCCACTCCTCGGAAGGAAGGTTGGGCAATCTATTTCCGTAGTGATACTGCCTCGGAAATCCAAGGTGGGGTCTCTATGAGTCACAGACGACTCGACCGTACGTAACAACAACAGTTATTAGAGAAACTGAGTTATCATCTGTTTACATGTGTATTGTCTACCTTTAGTTTTTCCTTTAAACTGTGAATTTAAGTTCTTTGCCAGTTTCCCCCCACAGATTGTTTCTTTTTAATTTACATGAGCTGTTTTACCTCAACTTAAAAAGTAATTAATTTCAGTTTCCTATGAATTAGAAATAGTCTAATAAACATTAAACTTCTTACTTTTCCAGTTACAGATCATTCTAATCCATGTAAAAGTTTTCAAAAATTCAAATATTACAGCTATACAACATATCCTTTGAGTATTTAAAAACCTTTAATGGGGAGATAACAGCACTGTTAAGTCTTCTTTATTTGATTAAAGAAGCATAGCTGGTATGCATACACTAAAAATCATTTCTATTTTATCTCAGAATGGAAGAAAAGCAGTACTTTAAAATGGGCAGGAAACTGTAAGGCTATTCTAGTCCTCTGGTGCAGTTTTCCTCAGTACTTCATCCTACCCTGAAGGTAAGCCACACATCATCCTAACCACTTCCATATTCTCTGAAATTATATTCTACAGTGGTGGAAGAGAAGAAATTTCAAAGGGTCTCTAGTTATGATACGGGTTATGTATGAAGAGAAATGGATGAAGTTAACAAAGCAAGTAATTCAAGAGAAGGCTTTGTTGTATCAAAGGTAAAGCAAGAAAGATAATTTCCCTGAAAAGAACTGGCCTAAGTCATTTTATAAAAATTTTCCTTCTAGAATGTATAACATTAAAAAATCACTTTATTTTTATCTTAAATATACAAAGTTTCAAAACATTAAGTCTATAATTCAGTACATACCAGAAAAAAATAACATTTCAACTCCAAAAGAAATTAAGATAAACTCTTAGCTTTCTTTTAAAGCAGAACCACAAACACTGCATTTTCAAGCATCTGCTCAATCATTATCACTTGCCTGGGTTAAGATGTAACTCCTCTGTGCCTCTTCTATGTCAACCAAACTAGCATTGATATAATCATTTTCAGTATTTTGCAGTTTAACACGACTGTGATCATCTGAAAATAGAAAATCAGAAACCTTAACTGTAATTTCAAATGTCATTTCCTTTTCATCTTAATATTAATGTTCAAGATACTTATGAAGTGATAGAAGGAATGAAACAAAGGAAAAACAAGCTAGCACTGTAGGAAATTTTAGCCAAATCTGAAATTATTTGCCATGTTTAAAAAGCAAGTATAAAACTTTGAAAAAAAGTGATCCTCTTGTTTGTTGCTCTGATGTTGGAAGGGAAGTGCTTCTACTTGTAGCACATGAGCTACTGTAACTTGGAAAACTGACCAAACAGTACAACATAGCAAAATGAATAAAGCACATACCTCCCTAGAAGTAAAAGGATCCTTTAGATTCTTGGTGCCTAAAAAGAGATTGGTCTACCTACAGTAAAGAAATCAGGCTCAAGTATATTTGACTAGTTTTCCAGGCTAACTATATTTCATTTTCTTCATTCTTCAAGAAACTTGCATTCAATTACATTTAAATAATTTTTATCATTATGTTTAGATTAAACACCAAAAGTAAGTACAGCTAGAATATTCTATTTAATTGACAATAACAAAAATGCTTTATTACTTCAAACTAAAACATCAAACTCATTGCCATTGAGTCGGATTCAACTCCTAGTGACCCCTCTTTGGGTTTCTGAGGCAGTATCACTATGGAAGTAGATCGCCTAACCTTCCTTCCAAGGAGTGGCTAGTAGGTTTGAACCTCCAGCCTTCTGGTTAGCAGTCAAATGCCTTAGGCACTATGCCACCAGAGCTCCCGCTTTATTACTTAAGAGTTTAACAATTTAAATACAGTTTCAGTATTTAAAAGTAGAAGTCTCACAGATTTAGAATGTATGGTAATTTAAATATGTGGAGCATAACATATAACCTTCTAGCATTTAGGTGGGAAAGGGAGACTCCGAGGACAAGGGAGAGAAAGCACATGCAGAACCCCAAACAGACAACTCTCAGAGCAGGAAACAAACAAAACCTGAAAACATCCTGTGTGAAATGCAACACTGGAGAATACCACCTATTATAACTGCCACCGTCAAGGAAATCTGTACTAAATATGCACTCTCTTCCCATTTTTAAATGAAAAAAGTTTCCATTTATTTCCATATGAAAAAAAAAATGTTAAATGGCTTTAGTTTACATATACTTTATCAGAGATGTATCTGCTGGGCTGAACCCAAGACCTCTGTAATATTACATGTCATTCACCAACAGGAAAAACTAAGATCTTGTTATAGTAAATCACATACACTAGTGTTCTCGGAAAGATGGTGTCAGCAAGCATTTTTTTTGGTCAGTTTAATCATGCTTTAACTGCTACATTATGTGAGACAGTAAACACATCAGCCACTTAATTAACAAAATAAAGACTATATATCTATTAGATGACACTTAGTTATAAAATAATTCATGTCTCTGCTACCTTAAACAATCTCTAAAATTCAAGTTGCACTAAAATATAATACCAAAGGAATGTATTTCTTCATGTCGTAATCACAGAAAGAACACAAACTCCAAATGTTAATCATACTCCTTGCATAACTGAAAACATCAAGTGGGCCAACATAAATAAAGAATCCATAAAAATGAAAAAGTTCCACCAGTGTGTTGGGAATTCAATCATCACGCATACTGCCATCAAGGATACACACAGCTATTGATGAAATAGGACCTCAGCAGTTTGGTTTTAGGAGTATTTGATATCTTGCCCTCACCCTAATTCTTCCCCACCTCACACTTAAAACCACACCAGTTTCTGGAGCTAGCCTGGGAGAATACTGCACAGCCTGGCTTGACAAAGGAACCCTGCTTTCCATCCAGACATCCAGAGTCACAGCAAAAACAATGGGACAATGAATTTTCTTAGTACAAAAATTTAAAATCATTTTGCTAGTAAATTACACTAAAAAAAGGCAGGTAATCTCTGGAAAAATTATGGCCATTTAGAAGTAGCCACATCATATGTTGCATGAACCATATTTTCTTCTCAGTAGTGATTAAAAACAAAACTCTTATAAACCTAATCATTACATATTTATTTTAATTCATCGTTCCATTAAGATTAATAAAAAGTTTGAAGAATTTTTAACTTTTTGACTCAGAAGAGAAATGTGCAGAAAAATCTACAAGATTATTGGTGTTAACTAAAACACATCACCTTAAAATAACTATAGTGCAATGGGTTTTGCATATATAAAGAGAAAGGGGATTGGTCACTTTGTAGTCTGTGTTGGGAGAAGTAGGCTTATAAAAAGGTTAATCCTACGGAGGTTGAGGGGGACTTCATCATCATCAAGAACTTGGAGCACCCTGGAGACTCTGCACTGAGAACCTCCTAGACCCAGGAGACAAAGAGAGCTGAAACACTAGAGATGCTACAAGACAACATGAGGAGCAGATCAGCACAAGACAGCTGTGGTTGGCTTCCCAGCCCAAGGAGCAAAACAGAAGCAGTGGACTCGATAACCCATGGAGTGAGAGAGCTGAGTGCATTCAACAGTAGTCTTGCTGGAGGAGTGAGCAGAACCAAAAGATCTGTAACACTTGCTGGAGTGGGGCCAGTGGTGGAGGTCTGGCCCAAGTGGAGGCTGGCCTGTGGGCCTGGCTGAGGAGCTAAAAGCTGTCTTGGTTAGAAACTGTCCTGACTGATGAACTATATCCTGTCTCTTGACTGCTCTAAGTTCATCCTGGTCCCCAGCCAGTTACTTCCCTAATAAACCACATAGTTTTGAGTGCGGTCTCAAGAGTTGTTAGCTGGCTTCTGACACCACTAGCTTACAATAACTATCTAGAAAGATCTTAAGTATACACATTTCATGAAGTGAAACTATCGGTGTTTTTTTTTTAAAAACTGTCACTTTATGTCTTATATTCTTTCAGCAAAGATAACAAAGAGGGACACTGCCTCCTCCCCAATTAAGAATCACATGGTCCAGTTTACAATATCTGTAAACCAAATATGAGACCTGATGTCTGCCAAGTTCCTTTTCAATCTGGGTGTCAACTGTTTTTTCTTCTTATCCCATTACTATCAGTTTGCCCAACTCAGTGAACTGATTCACCAGTATATTTCAAACCAAACATTTGATTTCTTGATAGAAAAAATAGAAAATTACATGCTTTCCCTTCTTACACAGTTTACTCTTTCCAGGAACCTCTGAAATAAAATTAGCAGAAGGGACAGATTCCCATAACCTCTGGGTTCTAAGTAAGTCCCAAAGGCCATAGTACTTTATCATCATCTTAAGTACATGATTATTTTCCTTTTTCCTGACTTTTAAAGGATCCAGCAAAAGGAAAAACTATGAGATAGTTGAAACTATACTGCATGATACTCCACCAAACCAAACCACATTTCCACAGGAAATCTTATTTCTCAACATTAACACCAGCCCACTTCCTGTTAGTACGTCATAATGTGGTAGCCTAAGTTTTTCAAGACAGTAAGTACGAATAATAGAGGGATGACTGGAGCAAATAAGAAACTAATTTAACACACTGATACAGCACCAGTCTAACGGGAGGTCATGAGTACTAAACTAAGCAGAGGCAGTGGGAGTGGAAAAATGAAATGTGTATGAGGTATACCAGCATGCAGTTGCTAAAACAAAAAATCCACTGCCATCAAGCTGATTTCAACTCACAGCAACCCTACAAGACAGAGGAGAATTGCCTCACAGGGTTTCCAAGCCTATAAATCTTTACGGGAAGAGACTGCCTCATCTTTCTCCTGCAGAGAGACTGGTGGGTTTGAACCGCCAACCTTTTGGATAGCAGTCCAATGGGTTTGGTATTCCACAGCAGAAATGTATCACAACTTGTTAACCACTTACCCACTCAAGGACACTGGCTTGTTTCCAAATTTTGGCTATTAAAAATAAAGCTGATACAGATACCTTTTGTATGGACATAAGATTACATTTATCTGGAATAAATATCCAGGAGTGATTGCTGGGTTGTACATGAGAAAATTTATGCTTACTTTTTAAAAAAGAGACTGTCAAACCACTCTCCAGAGTAGTTATACCATTTTACATTCCCAACAGCGATTTTTCTGCATCCTCAGATTATTGCTTTTTTTGCAGTCTTTTTTTCTTTCTTGAAGAAAATTTGTTGTTGTTGAGACTACACAAAACAAAGCATACACCAATTCAAGTTTCTATATGTAGAACACAGTGATAACAATCATGTTCTTCAGGTTGTGCAACCATTCTCACCCTCCTCTTCTTAGTTATTTCTCTTCCATTAACATAAACTCTCTGTCTCCTAAATTTCCTACTTAATCTTTGGAGTTGCTCTTGTCAATTTGATCCTGTGTAAATAGCTCTTAAAAGAGCATAAAGCTCAAAACAAAAAACAACTAAACCCACTGCCATGGAGTCAATTCTGACTCATAAAGACCCCCACTGGGTTCCAAGGTGGTAAATCTTTATGGAAGCAGACTCCCCCATCTTCCTTCCCAGAGCTGCTGGTAGGATTGAATTGCAAACTTTCTGGTTAGCAGTCAAATGCCTTAGGCACTACATCACTAGAGGTCCTTTATAATGCTCAAGGCAGACATTTTTACTAGCTCAGTAGTTAAACTATTATTTGGTTTAAAAAAACTTCAAGGGATATTTTTGGTTTAAAGTTTAACGACGATCTCAGGTCACAGAAGGACAATTATACAAGCCCATTATTGTGAAGAGTCAAGAAAAGGTTTACTCAGGGAAGGAAATTCACTTTGTTGGTTACCAGGGATGGGAGAGAGGGGAGGGAAAATTTCGGACTAGTTGGGGGTCACATGTCGACTTGGGTGACGGGAGGGATGGTATGGAAAGAGTCTGTGACCAGCATGATGACACCAGGGGAAGGAAGGTCACTGAGATGTGCACATAAGATATAGACAACAGAGGCAAATACTGTTACATGCACAATACCATATACCGCTAGCAAACACCAGGCTACAAATAAATACATAGACAGGTGAGAAGATCAGGTGGAGGTAGGTGAAC